TGTAGTTTCCCGGGTCCTCTTTTTGAGGGAAAATTGTTAACTCTGAGCCTAAGTTTCCCTTTTTCTGAAGCTGCAATTCAGTTAAATAATTATGTCTAGTTTGGGCATTTTTAAGTAAAAAATTTTCTGCTGTAACCAAGTTCTTCCAGGTCTTCTTCTTACAGTCTGTAAATTTAAAACTCATGTCCTGCTTCTCCCAGGTGCTGGAGTCCACCACAAGGGGAATGACACTGGAAGAATTTAGTACATTTGAAAGAATGTACTAAAGCCCACAACAAAAACTGGCACACATTGGCTTCTTTGAAGGCAGTTTCACTCAAAAAGCCACAAGAGACTAAGGGGGGAGAACCCTTTCCTTCCATCATCTTCCTGCATACAAGCTCAGTTCAGACAGTCATTTGAGCCAGGTTATGATAATCCCTTGCTTCAGAGTCTTACAAATACATCTTGCTGTCTCACACAGGTGAAAAATCTGACAGAAGAAATGGCAACTCTGGATGAGAATATCAGCAAACTTACTAAGGAGAAAAAGTCCTTGCAGGAAGCTCATCAGCAAGTTCTGGATGACCTGCAAGCAGAGGAGGACAAAGTCAACACGCTGAGCAAAGCTAAAGTGAAGCTGGAACAGCAAGTGGATGATGTAAGCTGGCTTTGCCTTCATGTTTCCCAGGCTACTTTGTCCACCATGTACAGTTTTCATGAGTCTGAAATATTGCAAATCTTTGAAATGTGTTCCTGTCCTTTTAGAGATGATCGAGGATTTAGAAATGCAGTCTTGTACTCTCTGTAAAAGGAACACTGTAAAACCTTATCTGTGCAGTTCAGCCTTCCAAAGGAGTGTGAGAACGAGAGAATTTGCAGTGTAACTGGCACAAAGTCAAACAGAACTTCGCTACTAAGAGAACTGTAAATCTTGCACAAATGTGAAGCGTGGACTAACCCTTATGTTCTATTTCTTTAGCCCATATGCCCACTGGGTGCTAGGAAACAAAAAATGTAAAATAGGATGCTTATAATTAAGTACTTCTGCTTTGCAAGTTGCTAAAGCTCAGCACAAAACTGGGTTCAGCATACATCTGACTGTTGTAAACCATCTGTGTTCAATATATTTAATAAGCGACTTTGTTCCTAAAGCTTGAGGGCTCACTTGAACAAGAGAAGAAAGTGAGGATGGATCTGGAAAGGGCAAAACGCAAACTGGAAGGGGATTTGAAGCTGACCCAAGAGAGTGTCATGGACTTGGAGAATGATAAACTGCAGATGGAAGAAAAGCTAAAAAAGTAAGAGTCTCGTGTTGTACAAAATAAAGCAGTACAGTTACCACTACTTTTTGAGAGCCTTCAGGTGTGTTATCCTGCTCTGATGGTGGTTAAAAGAAAATTCCATGAGGAGAGAGTGTGTAACCACGGAGGGAAGGAAAATCGCTCTTACTTGTGCACAGTATACCCAAAACATTAGAATTCATTACACTTTCCAGCATTTATTATTTATGTTTTTCATTGTTTACAGTATAAAGCTGAAGGAAGTCTAAGATGTTGTTCATCCTAACTAGCTATGACAGCATTGCTCAAAGACCTGACTCTGAAATACATTTTTTCCATTGAGTCTGAAAATAACATTACTTTTGTATGACACAAAGAACCAGAAATATAATTGCACAAATGCATGCAATCTTGACTTGAAAACTGCTGCTCAGAGGAAGATGTGTTTTCATGCAAATAGCAATACATGAGGATTGCTTTCATTTTTAGATACATTAGAAGTTTTATGGAACAACTCTAAAAATTACAAAAGCCTAACTTGAAACTACATGGAAAATTGTCACAGTAGGATTTTCCTTTCTGTGGCAGGAAAGAATTTGAAATGAGCCAGCTGAATTCCAAGATAGAAGATGAACAAGCTATAGTGATGCAGCTGCAGAAGAAGATCAAGGAGCTTCAGGTCAGCTTACTACTTTCTCATGTATCCTGGGAGGAGTTTCTCTTTGTGCTTTGCCGAAGGGCTTTGCAGAGACTTTTCATGTCTAGCTGCAGCTCAGCTTTAAGACCCAAAGTGGTGCAACTCCGTAGCTTCCCAGACTGATGCCTTTTCCCCTTAGGATGCTCACTCTATAGTGGTTCCTTCCCAGTTGCATGACATGTGACCACAGAATGCTAGTGGTTTCAGGCAAGACAGAAAGGTGTGGGTGTTTTGTTTTAAGCAAATAATATTGTTCCAAACCATGGAGCTGAGGGTAAATGCTGGGGAAGAGTTCAGCAGTGATAAGGGAGGATTTGAAATTTAGGGAAAGGGCTCAAATGCATAGAAAACTTTCAACAGAAATTAAAAGGCCAAAAGAAGTCAGCACAGTCCAAACAAAATGTCTTAATCCAAAAATACAAGCTCTGCTTTTTTGTAAATAAAGTACATTTCCATCACTTGGATGTGTAGATTGGTCAAAAAACCCATTTCATAAAAGAAGTCTGCTCCCAGTGAATACTCATACAGTTCTACACACTGCTGTACTTGAAATCCTGTCTTAACACTCCTAGAGAGAAGTTACTTCAGTCACAGAGCTCTTAGAAAGGGAACAAAGAGTCCCTCCCTTTCGGTAACAATTTGTTGTTGGTACTCCTACTATCAAGTGATGTCTCTTGTGTAATTCAACTGATCTCATGTACATGAGTATAAGGTCGGTGCACTTGACCTAAGTGTCTTGAGCTAGAGCTTGGAGAGCAATCTGCTGTGAGAAAGATGTGACTCATCATTCTTACAGAGCTCAAGACCTGATCTGTTGGCATAAATGGGCAAGTTGCTGGGCTTCCACCTGTGTCGTAAAGTGTGGGCTGGCAGGGGTTTAATAATTTGTAAGGTGCTGCAAGGTACTCCAGTGGGAATCATCATGAAGGTGACCCAAAGGTGCTCGTGTCTCTTTGGTAGGCTCGTATAGAAGAACTAGAAGAGGAGCTGGAAGCAGAAAGAGCTGCTCGAGCCAAGGTGGAAAAGCAGAGGTCGGATTTGGCCCGAGAACTGGAGGAATTAAGTGAGCGGCTTGAGGAGGCTGGGGGAGCCACAGCGGCCCAGCTGGAGATGAACAAGAAGCGTGAGGCAGAGTTCCTGAAGCTGCGGCGGGACCTCGAAGAGGCCACGCTGCACTACGAGGCCACGGCTGCCACCCTGAGGAAGAAGCATGCAGACAGTGTGGCTGAGATGGGAGAGCAACTGGATAACCTGCAGCGGGTCAAGCAGAAACTGGAAAAGGAGAAAAGCGAGCTGAAGATGGAAGTGGATGACCTGTCATCCAACATGGAGCAGATGGTCAAGGGAAAAGTAAGGGTCCTAAGGCTTCCCTTAGGTAGGGCTGAAGTCTTTTAGAAGGTGGTGTCTTGCAATCTGAGGGTGCTTATGTGCAGTGTCCCTGCCTTCCTCAGCTAGTGGTATAACCCTTCTTACCTGGAAATGGGGCAGCAATTAAGATGTCCCATCTAAAATGCATAGTGACACCCCAGCCCAGGCATACCCGTGTGTCTGTATGTCTCAGAGCACAAAAGTCTCACGTTGCGCTCCCCCAGGCCGCTGACAACTGGGGTGATGCCATCCAGGGCTGGATACCTCCCATCCTCAGCAGAGTCCTCTCTGGCCCTGCCCTTGCTTCACGGTTTTGACCCGTGTTAGCACAGGGTGCAAAGCCAAGGCTCGCATGACCACCACGTGTATTTTTATTTCCTGTGGCTGAGCTGTGGGTTTTGTTTCCTGAGTGGATAATCTTGGTAGCTTTCAGAGCACTCCACAGAGTTCTTACAGTGCAAATGAAGAAAAGAAGTTTCAGTATTCTGAGAGTTAGAAAGCTGTCATCAATCTCAGTTTATGATAAATGGCAATTAAAGCAGAATCAGTAAAGCAATTTTCATTGCAAGTGATTTTCCCATCTAGGAATTATGAGGAGGCTTATGCCTGATCTTCATAGACACGTGGTTGCGTGTGAAGTTCTAGCAGATTCTTTTTACATTGGTGCTTCTGTTCAGAAGGCATTTCAGGGAAAACAAATGGGGAAGGTGGTCTGATGGGGGGACCCGTAGCCTGGGACTGTCAGCGCAGGGCTACTATTCCTTGCTCTGCTGCTGTGGTGTTTGTATCTTTGCGATCTGCCACTTTGCTGAAAGGCAAACAAAAAAAGCCTCTCCAGAGGCTACAGCTTTGTATGTCTTGTGTCCTGATCCCTGCTAGGCAAATGCAGAGAAACTCTGTCGCACTTATGAAGACCATCTGAACGAGACGAAAACTAAACTGGAGGAAATGACTCGCCTCATGAATGACCTCACTACTCAGAAGACAAAACTCCAGAGCGAGAATGGTATGTGCGTGTCCAGCCTAAGATAAGTCCCTGGGAAGCAGTCTGTCAAGTGTGTCTCGGCACTGTGCCAGTGAAATGTCTTGTGCAATGGCTTCTGCTTGAAGGTGGCTGGATTAGGATTGCTGAATGAAGCAGTGGTTTTGTGGCTTTTGACTTCCACATCTTCAGTATTTTTATAAGCTTGGTGTGTGGGGACAACCTTGCCTTTGACTGGCTTTTAAAACAAGCCTAGAATCATATATACCAGCATACTGCAGTACCGTTTCGTGAGCTGAAACGAGTGGGCTGGCTAGGTACCCAATTTCAGGAACAAGGACGTGTACATCTATCTTGCAGTGCTAGGGTGAAGATAAAGGAGTTGGCATACTGCTGCTGTCTGTGTGAATACCATCTTCCTCAGTATGACCTTGGGCACTGGACTCCAGAAGATACTTACATCCAGCCAAAAATACCATGTGTCCTCCAAGTGCTTGCTACCATTTTTTAGCCAGAGTAGTACTATTTAATCTCTGCATCCTCATCAGATATCACTGTTCTGTATATTTTCAAAAATATATTTTTCATTTCTTGTCTGTTTGCATCTCAGTTCTATGTAGTCCTCTGGGGCTGTGGTTTCTTCCCTGCAGTGAGGCCCTTCTTGTGATAAATGAAGTTTTCCTTATGTATCCCTCTGTTCTGTACACTGGTCATTGTGAGGTTCTCAGGGTGCTTTGGAGCCCTCTGAAAAGAAGTCCGTGGAAAAAATAACGTAAAATAGTGAAGGAAAACATAAACAAAATCAGCTACCACGTGAAAGTAAGCATCAGTCTGACCCATGAGCTGAACGAAAATCCAAGTTTTGACAGTAAACCAGAAAAAAAACCCAAACAAATACCTAAGGAAAACTGTCCCGGTGAAGTGTCTGATAGTCATGACTTTGGAAGAAACTCACAAGAGGCTGGCCGCAATCACTACTAGTTCTTTTCCTCGGCAGAATTGGACAGGGAGGATTTTGATTTTGGCTGGAACTTTGTAATTTCCTGGTCTTACCCTTTTTCTTTTTTTTTTTTTTTTTGTTAAATCCTGTGTTAGGTGAATTTGTAAGACAGCTTGAAGAGAAAGAGTCACTGATAAGTCAGTTGTCCCGGGGGAAGACATCATTTACACAACAGATTGAAGAACTTAGGAGACAGCTAGAAGAAGAAACCAAGGTAATGCTTTGACTGTGTCCCATTCATTGAGATGGAATGTGGAAATCTGTTCATCTTAATTTGTAGCCTGGATAAAAGCTGAAATGAGACACAGGAATGAGAATGCTTCCTGGTAATTGTACTGATAAAAGTTCCTGCCCCTGACTTAGGCAATTCACAGGAGAAGATTTTGGGAAAATAATCACCGTCCATAATTGCTAAATAAAACTTACCCAGTAGTATAGCCAAAATCTCAAATCTTGCATCTTAAAAGTTTGGAGATGTTAGGTTATCTTCAGTCTTGATAGCTTCCTTAGCATGTCACCAGCTAGGGATGACTTCAAACACTTCTTACCTCACTTGACCTGGACTGCCAAGGCCAGAGGCAAAAAGAAAAAAAGGCTTAAGCCCCCATTTGAATTTCTAGGAGCTGTTTCTTTGGGTTTTGCTGTAGGTAACCCTGCAATGCTGTAACCTTTATATCCCTGCAGTCCAAAAATGCCCTGGCTCATGCCCTGCAAGCAGCTAGGCATGACTGTGATCTCTTGCGGGAGCAGTATGAGGAGGAGCAAGAAGCCAAGGCAGAGCTGCAGCGGGCTCTCTCCAAGGGAAATGCGGAAGTGGCACAGTGGAGAACGAAGTATGAGACTGATGCCATTCAGAGAACTGAGGAGCTGGAAGATGCCAAGTAAGTGGGTTACGGGAGCTTTATCCTGCCCTCAGCCGGGAGGACTGTGCTCCCTGGGTCTTAGGGTGCTGAGGAGATAGGGCAGTCTGGTTGGAAAAAGCTCTGTGTCTCATTGCTGTCATTTGTGGCTGCCCTTCTCCGGTTCTTTTCTTTGCCTGAGCAGGTCAATGTTTCTGTTGGGTCCTTGTCCATGGGGTAGTGGATATGGGTACTGGGGCTTATTTAAGAATTAACAAGATTAGATTACCCTACTTGGTTATCTCACACACTCATTGCTTTGCCCCGGCCCAGTGCTACGTTCCCTAGGTCATCACTTCCCTTTCCAACAGGGAGGTGACAGCTGCTCCAGGAAGGTAAGGCAGAAAATCATGTTGGCTTGTGCTGTGCAGCCACGCACAGTTACCAGTCGCAGGTGTTACTGGGCAAGGTCTCTGAGCATCTCCAGCATCTGTCTGCACACATCTTTGATCTGCAGGATCTTACCCCACTTCCAGTACACCTGCTCTATCTCACACCTTCACTTACTACTTTCTGGGCCCTCCTTTCTTTTCAGGACCTATTATTGCCAGGACTCCCAGCCCCCTGTTTTCCCAACCTAAATAATCTATGAACAAAAGCCTAAGGTGTGACCAGACTCCTAATTGATGGTTGTGTTTCATATCTCTTCATTGGAGCAGCATGACACTTTCATTTACACCAGGTGTTACCAAAATTTACAACCAGCGCATCCTGGTTAAATCTAGCAGGTTCCTGCTTGAAGTCCAAAAGTTCAATTTCAAATATTCACACACACGCACAAAAAATTATCTGCCACATGTCAGCTTCCATAATTTAAGATGGTTTTTTTCGCCTGTCGTAGTCCCTTCTCCCTAGGGGTTTGATTTCCCCCTCCCTTCCCCTTCCAATCTTCCCGTTGCGAAGTGATTTATGGAGATACTGGTTTGGTGTCAGTTTTTCTGGATAACATGGCAGCAGAGGCTCTCAGTCATTTCACTGTCTCTTCCCACATGTCAGGAAAAAGCTTGCTGCTCGTCTGCAAGAAGCTGAGGAAGCAATCGAGGCAGCCAATGCCAAGTGCTCTTCTCTGGAAAAGACAAAGCACAGGCTGCAGAACGAGCTGGAAGACATGATGATTGACCTGGAGAAGGCCAACTCAGCAGCTGCCTCCCTGGACAAGAAGCAGCGTGGGTTTGACAAGATCATCAATGACTGGAAGCAGAAGTATGAAGAGTCACAGGCTGAGCTGGAGGCTTCCCAGAAGGAGGCCCGTGGCCTCAGCACTGAGCTCTTCAAGCTGAAGAATGCCTACGAGGAGACACTGGACCACCTGGAGACATTGAAACGGGAAAACAAGAACCTCCAAGGTAAGCTTCATTTGGGCCCCACGTCCAGGGTGAAAGCCACACCAGTGGACAGCTGGAAGGAGGCAGGTGCCCTGTAACAGCTGTGGGGAGAGGAATTTTCAAAGCTTTCGGATTTGCTTGGAGACACTGATGCTGGCAAGGAAGCTGTGGCCTCCCTTTGCTCAGCTGTCAGTGAAGGTCGCTGGCAGAGGTGCCAGTCTTAAGGGAGGAACCAAGACAGATGGCTGAGGTGCAGTGGATGGAGCCTAGACAGCTCCCAAAGCAGAGCACGGTGTTGCTAGCCTGCAGATCACAGATAAAAAGCTAAACCACTCCAAAAAGCGTTTACAAGAAAGTCTGTGCCTTCAAGCTGGTCAGGTAAAAAAAGTTGCTGTAATTGGAAGTAAGGCAGTGCTTGTGTACAGGGGAGCCCTTGAGGTAGCAGTTGGAGGCACAGGTCCTGTATTCATGCTCTGGGGATTGCAGTCTGTTTGGGACACTGATCACTAAATCCATCTGTCCTTTTCCTTTCAGAGGAGATTTCTGATCTGACCAATCAGATCAGTGAAGGAAACAAGAGCCTCCATGAAATAGAAAAAATCAAGAAGCAGGTTGAACAAGAGAAGTCAGAAGTTCAGCTGGCTCTGGAAGAAGCAGAGGTAAGGAAAGAAAGCTGAAAGGAACAGGAAAGGGTGTCTCTATCATGATTTTCCTTCCTTTTTCATCCTTCCATCAACATAGCCGATGTGCTTATTGTTAGCAAGTGCAACCTCTCTGCACCCAGCTCCCCTGGCCTTGCTAGCCACCGTTTTCAAAAGTGACTGGTGATTTTTGGAGATGTCAGCTCTAAGATCATCAGTGGAGGCCCTTTCAAAGGAGTTGTCTTGTAGGTTTTGGTTATTTGCTGTTGGGTTTTGGGGTTTTTTTCCCTTTCAGGAAGCTCAGAAATCTTCTGCCCACCTCTTGTAAATCCAGCCCTTGCTCACTTCGGCATAGAATATTTCACTCTTTCAGGAAACAGGAACTGCTGAGAATTATGGTCTTACACTGTTCTATCAGATATTTCTAGTGTCTAGTTTCCAACAGTAAATTCACCATTTTCTGGTTTTGAGAATAAGACAACAAACCGCTTGATGACTTTAAATTTTATAAGGTCTCAGATACTGAGTTGGGTACTGCAGCCTGCTTTAAAAAAATGGTAGCTGTCTCGGAAACCAAATGAAAACAGGCCATTTAGAAAATCTTTGACTTCCAGCAGGAGCTTGTTAGAGACATTTAGCATTGATTTTTCTACAGTGGCAAGTATGCACGTATCCAAGAGGGATGACTTATCCCACTTGCCAGAAACAAACCAACAATACGGAACAAGCCGACTGGAAATCCTGGTTATTCACTTAACTGGGTAAATTGTCAGTTTTTTGGAAGTTTGGTGCATTGCAGAGCTAAGAAGGGGTGTAGGTGCTGCCAGCTAGAAGCAACACAGCAAGGGGTTTGTAGTGAAGGCTGCATTTCTTTGGAACTGTACTCTAAATAATACCTGCTAAAACAAACGCCACCCAGAGACAGGGATCCTTACATGCTGTGCAACTTCTTTTGTCTGTTGCAGGATGCTTTATACTTTGCAGGGATTTCACAGCCAAACAAACAGGTGTCATGATCAGAGCAGAGGAAAGAGCATGCTTCCACAGCTCTGAGATGTGGAGAGTGATTCTATGCTCTGTCAATAAAATTCTCCTGCTAGAAAGAATACATCGGTTCTTGAGGGATCTGAGGGGCACACTTTACTTTTCTGGACTGTGTGGAATGGCTTCCTAAAGTTCAGCGACATTAGGAAGTAACAAAAGTAAAGTGGTGATGTATCATTTTAATTGTGAAAGAAATGGTTTAATGCAGATTTTTCTCCCTTCCTTGTGAATTTGGGTCTCTGGTAGTCACCACTGGTGACACAGTACTTCTGGATGCTGTTCCCGTTGATACGCTGTGGCTCCTTGGCATGAAGTGTGCATTCGACTGACCTGCAGCTGCTGCATGATGGCCGCAGATTAGCAGGGACTTTGTACAGCTTTGCCTTCAGAGCCTCCACTCTGTTTCCATCATCTCTACAGGGAAGCGTAGCCAAGTCTGTGCCATTCTACCCTTCAAAAAGCACTTCCAAAATCTACGGCGTTCATTTCTGTGCTTGTCTTCCCTGCTTGGTGCGAGAATGCCACTGAGCCTGCCTTATGCAAGACCTGGAAGTCCGAGGTCCTGTTATTTCACTGTGAGCTGTTGTCAGCTTAGTTCTTGACTTCCATATATGAGAGAAGTGTAAGGACAAAGACATAGGAACAAGTTGCCCCTGTTTCACAGACTTGTCTTCATGTTAATTGGAAAGAGCGGACAGAGTATTTTTGCATTGTGTCATACAGAGCTGATGCCTCATTTTTCCGTGAAGTGGTGTTGCCTAATAAGATTGTATAACTGTGAGGCTTTCAACACTTCATAATTCGGAGAGATCTTTGGGAGCTGGGGGATGTGGGGACCCCTTCACCCTCCCAACAACAATCTTGCTTTAGCTTTTGCCTATCCCTGACGAGCCTGTGAATTTCCGGGGGGGGTGTCTGTACAGGGGTGCAGAGCAGAGTCTGTTGGTATCAAAACCGCACAGGCAGGGCCTAAGGTGGTTTTTTTGAGGGCCATGGACTGCTTTGACAATTTGTCCTCCAAGGAGCTTGCTGTTCAGTTTTCTAGCTGCCAACTTGCATTAGAAGGCAAATAAATGCCTCGTTGTGCCATGTAAGCCGCTCATGTCCTTGCCTGGAGAGAGAGGCAGGGAGAAAACAGTGCTATTGGGAACGGGAAGAAAAGTGTGAAAGGATCATCTTTGTGCAGGGGGTTGTGATTTGAAAGCAAAATAAAATAAAATGGCAACTCCTGGCCTGCAAGCTCTTGGTGCTTTCTATTTCAGGGAGCTTTGGAGCACGAAGAAAGTAAGACCCTTCGTTTTCAGCTTGAACTCTCTCAGCTTAAAGCAGAGTTTGAAAGGAAACTGACAGAAAAGGAGGAAGAAATGGAAAATATAAGGTACCGTGCAGGAAGCAGCATGTTTTTTAAGGAGAAAATCTCAAAAGACGAGAAATATTCTCAAGACCCAAACCAGCCAAATGCACCACTGGTTGTTAACACCAGCCCATGCAGACATTGTCTGTACCAGAAACCAAGGCAGCTCTGATTATTTGCCAAAGGGTAGTCCTAGCACATTACCATTTCGTAGTTCAAATATTCCTCTCAGTTCCCTCGTGACAGCACACATGTAAGCCCATCATACACAGCAGCAGTAACACAACTGGCAGGCACAACCAGAGTCAGAGGAGACCAAGAGCTGCCAAGTCTGTGTGTTTACAGTGTTGAGACAAGCAGGTCTAGAGGGCTGCCTTCTCCTATCCCCTAGTTTGGCCTCCCAAGGGGAACCACAGGCAAAATCAGCAGAACTACCTCAGTGGGGCTCAAACCTATGCTTCCTGAAGGCAGTCGTCACCTCTGCATTTAGTTACTTTGTGCAGTCATAGCTACACTGATGGTGGGAGGATGGTGAGGAGCTTGCCATTCTGTGTACACCGTTTGGGTAAGCGGTGAGGATTGCAGAGGTACAGAAAGTGTGAATGTAAAAGGAGAGGAGCTTGCAGGTCAGAGGGATAAACAGGAAAAATGAAACACAATTAGATGACAGGAGGATTGATGTCTCCCCTCCCACCTAGCACAAACTCTAATCTTAAGAGTGACACACTTTAAATTATGCCACGCTGGGCCAGATTTTCAATAATGTGTGTGTGTGCAGTTCTTTAGAAAACTCTGGCCTCGAATTAGTCTGTGTTGCAGCACTCAATCCAAGAACCACGTCACTGTTGTTGATAGGGTAAAGGATAAGGAAGGGGAAGTCCAAGGCTCACTTGGCTACTGTAGACGCGAGGATTGATGTATTAATTGTTTAAAAACAAGTAATGTTTCGGCCCTTTCAGACACTGTCTTGTGCAGACGTCGGGATTACAGAGATCGCAGGACTAGCTATCCTAACCAGTGCCTTCTGCCTCAGCTTTGTTATGAGTGTTTTGCTGTTAGTTGTTCAGCAAAAAAAAAGCAGGCGCGCTGTGTTGTTCTAGGGCACAGTTCAGTATCTTGCTGAAGCAATAAGGCCCTCAAGGTTTTCCTTGTTGATTCGGTGATTTCCCAGAACTCCTACTCTTTCAGCAAAACTTGGCCAGCAGTGGGAGAAATGTTTCCCTGTGTGAGTCATATTCTGTGCTTTGCATTACCTCCTGGGTGTAAGAGAGCGAAACTTTCATCGTAGGACTTGGCTGTTACAGACTTAAGGCAATTAAGCACCTGTCTGTATCTGTTTTGCCATCTTCAAAGGCACTAAGCTGCCTTTCACAGAGGGACCAGGCTGTTAATTAGGGTGGGCTTAATCTCTCCTAACTTTAGATGTCTGTAACACAGGTTTCTATCCCTGAATTACTCCCCTTGTAATTGAGCATAAGAAATGTGTTTCAACGTCTGCTTTAAGACACAATAAATTGTAGTTTACACATGCCATTTACTCTAAAGAGCACCTAGAGTAATTAGCTTAGAATGTAGCTGCCTACCTTCAGTTTCATTAATCCCCTACACTGTTGCTTTCATAAAAAGGCTGAGATGTGAAACACCCCAGTAAATGACTCAGTAAATATCTTGGTAGGTGACTGCTAAGCTTGAAGTGTTTCCTGTAAGGTTCAAACCTGTACTTGCTTGGGTTTACAAGAGATCTGAGAGAACTCCTTGCTCCAGTATTGCCAAAGGAAACATGGGAGAAGGAGGCCATAGGTGCTTACAGATCAGGAGTTAGCTGAGAGTGTGAAGCACACCAGCCAGTTAGATGGCAGTGAGGCACTAGAAACCTGTGCTATGCATGCCATTCAGAAATACACTATTTCTGGCAGTGAGACACACTCAGAAAGTGAAGTGCTGTTGCATGTAGTTCTACCTTCCTGTGCAGAGAGGAAAAATACTCCATTCACCCTTCATGTCCTTTTTATGTTATTCCACAATCAGGAGAAATCAGCAACGCACCATAGATTCACTGCAGTCCACCCTTGATTCTGAAGCCCGGAGCAGGAATAGAAGAAGATGGAAGGGGACCTCAATGAGATGGAAATCCAGCTCAGCCATGCTAACAGGCATGCTGCAGAAGCAACAAAGTCAGCACGTGTCTTGCAGACGCAAATAAAGGTACTCCGAGAGCTGCTGGTCCCAAGCACTCAGTGGTAGGTGTGGGCTGGGTTTCATTAGCACAGAGCGAAACGGCAATGGTGATGGTAATTAAGAGAGAAGCTGCTCCCAAGGATGTGCAGGGAAAGTCCTTAGTGATCACGTCTAGCATAAGACGATACTGAGATACAGATTTCTTCCAAGACAAACTGGATGAGATCCAGTCATAAAACCCTTGCTGGCTGCAGCCTCCGGTGGGGGCAGAAAGCTACAGCATGAGGCACTGAAAATCCATGATCTTCTTGTTAGCTTGCAAGTCCTTTAAGATGGAGAGCAAGTCACTTGGCTGGAGTACAGCGAGTGTGTGTATATTCAGCTTGGTTGTTTGCTTCAACATTTGTAGTAGCTTAAAGTGCTTTGCTAAGACACCTCTTAAGTCATCGCCTCTCCCACACCTAAGCAGCTAGTTCTGTCTCGGGCAGAACTGCCAGCTCTGAGAGGTCTGGACACGCAGGATATTCCTCTGCTGCACCACATACCACAAAAGCTATTCAGCTTACGGTGTGGAGGAAGCCCTCCTCCAGTACAGAAGCACTGGAATTCTTGCAGCGGGCCCTATGCAACCTCTGCAGTCTGGGGTTCTCTTATGTAAGCACAGCAGCTGGAACTGGAGATGCACTGGTAAAAAACCCAACATCTGTTTCATTATAGGAGCTTCAGGTGCAACTGGATGACTCCGGACACGTGAATGAAGATCTGAAGGAGCAGCTGGCGGTCTCTGACAGGAGGAACAATCTTCTCCAGTCGGAGCTGGATGAGCTGAGGGCTTTGCTGGACCAGACTGAACGGGCGAGGAAGCTGGCAGAGCACGAACTGCTGGAAGCCACTGAACGTGTGAACCTGCTTCACACTCAGGTTGCTTTTTCTGTGCTTTCTCCATCACGGGGTTAAACTGAGTCTTGTCTATTAAGCACTGATGCTGTTTGTCCATGGCTGTCATAAGTCAGACACACCTTGCCCTCCTTCAAGGGAGAAAATGAGGGAGAGGAAGTAAGATATGCCACCTCAATCCCTTCAAGTTAGTTGGAACTGATGATTCAATCAACTGCTCCAGTTTCCAGGGAAAGCAATGATGGAAGATAATAAGAGTAAATTTGATTTCTTTCCCTTCAAGGAAGAAAATGAGGGAGAGGAAGTAAGTCACAGCAGATATGCCACCTCAATCCCTTCGAGTTAGTTGGAACTGATGATTCAACCAACTGCTCCAGTTTCCAGGGAAAGCAATGATGGAAGATAATAAGAGTAAATTTGATTTCTTTCCTCCTCTGTGCTGTAAAACCAGTTCCCTGGTTTAGTTAAGCCATGGCTGGTGGCTTTCCATGGTGGGGTGTTTCCTTGGAAAGGGGAAGTTTGAGGGCATCGATGTTACTCAGCAATGAAAACTGCAGAGGCTGGGTTTTAACAAAAGGTGCTTCATGAAGGGCAAGAAACTACATCACAGGTCTCCATGACTTCAGGTATTTGGACTTTGTCACGATGGATACTGCAGTTTTTACAGCGCCATGGAGGGGCATGTCCTCATGCACCACTGGTTTTGCTATGAAATCAAAGTTTCTCTTCACCAAATAATTAACAGCTAGAAGGAAATGAAAACGTGCTACAGGCTGGCGATGTTTCGCAATGTATCCTCCAGCCCATGATGCCACAAGGCTTCTGTTTTAATCACCTCATTGACTAACTGATTGTGAGTCATTAGTTTTCAAAAATGAGCTGGCTTATTCATTCTTTCATTTCAGCCTCTTGCTTATTATTTTAGATAAACTAAAACCTGAATATTTACACCTTGAGAATCTTTTTAATATTTCCTCAGTCTGAAGCTAAGCTATGGAGTAAAGGCCAGCCCTTACCATGTACCTGGGTCTCCCTTCCCAAATATTGCTCTGTATAATCCAAGAGTTGTGAAAATCAGTAAGCCTTGGTGTGCTGTGGTAATTATAGAATCACAGAATGGTTTGGGTTGGAAGGGACCTTAAAGACCATCCGGTTCCAACCCCCCTGCCATGGGCAGGGACACCTTCCACTAGACCAGTTGCTCAAAGCCTCATCCAGTCTGACTGGATTTAGAGAAGTCATGTCTCTAATCATCACTTTTCCTCCTTTTCCACTGTTCCTTTTGGGAAAACTTAATAAAAGAACACAAGCCTGATCAACCAAAAGAAGAAGCTGGAGGGTGACATTTCCCAGATGCAGAATGAAGTGGAGGAATCGATCCAGGAGTGCCGGAATGCAGAGGAAAAAGCCAAGAAAGCCATCACAGATGTAAGTGGGCTGGTTCCTTGCTCACTTCTTTTCAGTACCTCAGTGTCTCAGGATGTTAGCGTAGCCACCACATAACCACGGAGTGATTATATGCAGGTGCTTTTATTCAGCGCTGGTAGCCGGGGTACGCACCCAAATCTGGCTACAAATCCCGTTACATCCCGAACGCAATTTATGCTACCAAAAATTACATATGTATTAGGTTATGACAAGGACAACCAAGTATTTCCCAGGTCACCATTTCTGCACTCATTACAAAGCTCATACATCCGAAGCGCTCCACAGTTATCTGGAGTTAACTGATGAAACTACCAAATAAACCAGTCTAGAGGTAAAAAGAGAGGAAGGACTTCTTCCTGATGTTTGGGTTGGGGTATTTTGGGGGTTTATTTTGTGTGTTCTCCCCAAGGATGCAGTTTCCACTGATTCTCAAAGTCTCAGGTCATGTCTTTTGAATGGGGTAAATCAGACACCTGCATAGGTTAAACCAATTCTGGCTGAACTAGCGCTACCTGGTACAAAATGAGGTACCCTAGATCTGGGTGTCTGCTGGAAAAACATGAAGCCAAAGATCCCAGGAGGAGAGATGGAGTGCCTTCTTCCTGTAGGGAAGACACAATTTGGGCAGATGTAGTTTCATTTCCCACAGACCTGGAGAAATCAGTCACACCAACAGATAAAATGAAAGCTAAAGCCACAGGTTCCTGTGAGTTATGTGTCTGGAGTGCCTGGAGAAAGCTATTCCTGTATCATGGTCTTTACTGCTTCCCAGCTGACAGCACTATTACTGCCTGCCAGCGAGAAGGTGCTGATTGTCCTTGATTCAGCTCCAGCCTGGATTGCAGTGACTGCTGTCTTCCGATGACTGCTCGGTGGTGGGTACAAAAGCTGTAAATGGCTCTTGGTGGCTGGCACAAATGTCAAAGCAGGAACGAGGTAATTGGCCTCCTTGTTACCTGTCTTACAGAATGGCCAGGGACTGTGTAAGATGTTGAGACTGAGCTTCCTACCCCAGCACAGACTGCAGAAACCGCTTGGCTGTTGCAGCCGCTCAGGCAGCTCTTATCTGTGGCTGTGCAGGGAAATTTGTCTGCCAGATGTTTTCAGCTGCCACCTTTCAAAAGCTCCAAAAAACAAGACTAGATTTTGAGTAAGTTCTAGGTAAAATGTCTGCAGTGAATGGCACAGGCTTGCTTGTAGGCATTATACATGAGGACATTATATAGCACAGATACTAAAATAAAAGAAAGAAAAAAGTTGGGGGGCAAATCTTAAATCTCAGCATCAGAATATGGAGGGAAACAAGACCCCCAGCGCTATTCTGTCTTTGCGTTTTCTCCATCCAGGCAAGATACGCACACACAAGATATTTTCTGGAGCTCTGGGGACAGTGAATGTTCCAAGTACTGGATAATCCAAGACTGATTGCCCATCATTTCCTCTGAGACATTATCCAATAGCATAAGGGAGCTGCTGTAAAATGTGGTTGTTTTTCAGGCAGCAATGATGGCTGAGGAGCTTAAAAAGGAGCAGGATACTAGTGCTCACTTGGAGAGAATGAAGAAGAACATGGAGCAAACCATTAAAGACCTCCAGAAGCGACTGGATGAAGCAGAACAAATAGCCCTAAAAGGTGGAAAGAAGCAGATCCAGAAACTGGAATCCAGGGTAAGTGTGTGGTTCAGCTTTGGAGTGCTGTCTCCTGCTTACAGAACTGGGACCAGGCAGGTGCCCTAGGGCTGCCTGGTAAGTTCACAGAGGCCAGTAAGGGGTACTATAACACTTTCCTCTTTCACAAAATGCATGTGAGCAGTTCTTGGAAGCCTGCTGCCCCTTCATCATCCAGCTGCAATGAGCTGACCAGATGACCAAGCTCTTGATTAAGAAAGAAAAAAGATTAAAAAAAACAATGTCTACAGCCAGCAAAAGCCTCTCTAGTGCTTGCTTCAGCTAAATCTTTTGGTCTTTGCATATGTCTGCACCTTTGGCTGCTGCTGCAGCTTAAATACATTTATGAAAAGGCAGAATGGAAAGCTGACATTTCCTGAAATTCAACTCCATGAAGATGGTGAGAAAATTAGCATTTCCTGAACTGTGAACCAAATTCTCTGCTGATTTATTTATATATATGTAGCATAATGGCAAGGGTTTTTCCTTCTTTTGCAGGTTCGCGAGCTGGAGAATGAACTTGAGACTGAACTCCGTCGCAATTCGGACGCCCAAAAAGGAGCCCGCAAGTTTGAGAGACGCATAAAAGAGCTGACTTACCAGGTATGCTGAGGGCTGCAGTAACCACTAGGTCACTGGAAAGAAGTGTGTTCTCCCAAACGATGTCTTAAGTTGCCTCAGTGTTTTTGGTGAAGGGTGGCGTTACCCAGAGCTTTCTGACTGTAGGACACTTTAGGGATAAGAGGAACATCTCCCTGGGGCTTCCATCGTCTTGTCTGATTCACTGCAGAACGATGCTGGAAAGCCTCTCCTGCTGGGATGTGGAGCGTTTTAGCGCGGTACTGATACAGGGAAGGCTTGGATGGCTAGTCACACTGCAAGAGAAGAAAGAGCTCAGCTGTCTCTCAGCTGTGCTGATGCTGCTAAAAGAGCCCGAAGGATTCAGTTGACTCCAATGCATCGGTCAGTGTAGAGTTGCCCAGTCCCAGGGCTCTGTCACCGGTCGCTGAGCAGCAAGGTCTAGTCTGGAGCCTCCGCAGGTCTGCTGACAGCTGCTGTTGCTGCCTGCCTCGCGAAAAAGGTCTTTGGCACAGAGCACTGATCCTTTTGCTTTCTTAAGAAGATAATCCCATCCCTCTGCTTTAGGAGATTGTTTAGCCGCATACCCGTTGGTTTACTCTGACTTTTGTGTGCAGAGGCGGAAGGTTGTTTTCGTGGAATACAGTGCGCCGGCAGAATTAGCTGGTCCTTGGGCTTATGGGCTGTGACAGCTTAAGCCTGTGGCTCCTTTCACCAGAAATGCCTCCAAACCAGACTTTAAAATATGCAAATCGCACAGTTTTAAGCCCGCCCATAAGTCGGTTTCACTAAATAATGACCCGCCCTATAATGACTCCGTGTGTGTGAGAAAGCGTGTGCACACATCTGTCTGTGTTTATCAGTGTCTGTATTTGCATACATATAAATGGGGAGGGTACTCCGTTTTAGTCCTCAGCCTTCAGGCTCACATACATCTTCAGTCAACCGGCAGAAATATTTCCTGTCTCTACACAGGGTGATCACAATGTGGCTTATTTGTATTTTGAACTATACGTTTCTAAAATAAGATATATGGCACCCATACCCATTGCACTGGGGGAGACGCTTTAGGCCTTTTAACACAGTCAACCCAATTAACGATGTTTTGATACAGTCAGAAGAAGATAAGAAGAATCTGGCCAGGATGCAGGATCTGATTGACAAGCTACAATTAAAAGTAAAGAGCTACAAGCACCAAGCAGAGGAAGCTGTAAGTAACTCTTTAGGCCTTTTTACCATTGAGAAATTTATTGTTCTAAACCCACAACTCATAGAAGCTTTTAGTTCAAATACACAACTTGTGTGCGTATTAATATTTGTATTTATATTCATATAAACCTTGTATGAATAAAATGTATTTACAATACATACAAAATAAAATATGTAGCGTACGTGTTAATTATACATAAGAATTTTATCTTAAGACTGTGGTATATTTTGGAAGGGAAGGAATGGGAAAGACTTTTTTCCTCCTAGTCCCTCAGAAAAGGCATGTTGAGAGCCTCCCAGTTCACTTAAGATGGAGAGTGGCACGGGAAGCATCAACTCTGTAAATCAACAATCTCAGTTCTCCAGGAGGCAAGTGGTTCCCAGACAGCCCTTGCCTAGTCATGCTGAGCACTTTTCTTCCCACTTGAGATGGAAAGCTTTGTTTCTCGTGGAGTGGAGGAAATCAGCCCTGCTGTTTTCTCTCACCAGGAAGCACAAGCCAATCTCTACCTTTCGAAGTACAGAAAACAGCAACATGACCTGGATGATGCTGAAGAGAGGGCTGAAATAGCTGAATCTCAAGTCAATAAGTTGAGGAGCAAGTCAAGAGATATTGGCATGAAAAAGGTACGGTTACACGGTGTGGGGTAAACATGACTGTTTAATACACGGTAGCGGATGCTGCAGATGCAGGAGGATCTGTCACATCTCTTGGAATAATGGGGACTAGAATAAATTTTTCATTCCATTTTTTAGTTTCAGGCTACCCTTAAGTTTAACATTAAGGTAAGCCTTTAGGACAGCAATCTGATGCTTAGGCAAAATGAATACTCTGTCCTCTTGATGTTGTCACCTAACCTCTGTGCTCAGCAGCCATCAGTTTCCAGAACCGGTAGTTTGGGGTTTTTTTGGCAAGCGACATTAAAAAGCTCTATCTTTTTTTCCCCGATGATGTAGATTTCCGTGTGTGTAAATACAGCCAGCGGGTCGCCCCACTAGCAAGTTGCCATTCTAACATTGCTCTTTCAGTGAACCTGTATTGATTTGAAGAGCTGGATGAGAAGAAAATCCTAGTGATTAGCTTATTGGGTGCTGGGGAGTCATTAGTAACATATTTGTGGCAATTTGCACTTGAGCAGAATGATAGTAGAGTAATAATTGATTAACTAAAAGGTGCCTAAGAACTTGGTCTGGAACTGAAAGAAACCTTTGTTTATCTGTGCTTGCCTCGTGGCAACTAGGGCAACCAAGAGTAGGGTTGTTACTTGTAGGAGTGATAGAAAGAGGAGCTGGGTCACTGCTTTTATGTATTTCATTTGCAAATGCAACACAAGCTCCTGTCCTTAGTGTCATTTAAGTTTTATGGGGGTGACAGCTCCTGAGTCGAGAAAGAAAAAAGAAACCTTTCTGTATAATTTTGGTATTTTTATCACACTTGATCCTAAAACCTTCCTGCCATCTTCCGTATCGACCATTCTGTGGGAGGAAATACTCCAATTTCTGCTTCTGTGTTGGGCTGATGAAGTCAGCAGTAGCTGGTATAAATGGCTGCAGCTCCACTGCCCAGAGCAGAGCTACACTAAACCTAGACCTGGTCTCTCACACATTTATGTATGATGAAGGCAGTGCTGCACCTGAAGCTCACAAGTTCTGAAGTTTTTAAGAGTTAAAAAAATCCTAAATTTTTATTTGAACTATTTCTTTAAATTATTCCAAACCTAGGCAAAAGCCCACCTTGTATAATTTCACAAAGCCATGGCATCACACAGACCCTGAAATAAGTAAACCATGAGAGTAATTTGTTTAAGCTGGGGGAGGGCTTTTTACAAGGGCCTGTAGTGACAGGACAAGGGGGAATGGGTTTAAATTGAAAGTGGGGAGGTTTAGATTAGATATCGGGAAGAAGTTCTTCCCAGAGGGGGTGGGGAGGCACTGGAACAGGTTGCCCAGAGAAGCTGTGGATGCCCCATCCCTGGAAGTGTTCAAGGCCAGGCTGGATGAGGCTTGGAGCAACCTGGTCTAGTGGAAGGTGTCCCTGCCCATGGCAGGGGGGTTGGAACTGGATGGTCTTTAAGATCCCTTCCAACCCAAACCACTCTGTGATTCTTCAGTTATGCTTCAGAGTGCTGTTTATTCCCTCTGTCTTACTAGTACCCTTTTTCTGTCTAAACCATGCAAAAGTTACGGAAAAGCGGATGCCTGTTTTTATTAGTCAGATGGATTTGGTGTTGGGAAACCAGCACCCCTGGCTTATAGCTGAGTCTGGTGCTGTCAAAAGATGAGCAAATTGGTACAGGCAGAGGTGTCACCTCCACAAAAAAGGACCTGTGGCAGCAATGGCAATAGCTGCCAGAAACCCTGTTCAGGCAAGGAGTGCAGTCCCAAAAGTCACAACACAGCTCTGGGGAGAGAAAGGCACTGAAGAGACTACCTTAATAGTGTGGCATTCGAAATACCTTGTCTACTGCTATCAGCACCCAAATTCCTGGAAGCTCTAGGAAGCGTGTGTTGTTCAGAGCAAACACCAGCACGTCAGACAGGGTTGTACAGAATTCACATGCCATCAGAGGGACGCGCGCCCCAGCCCACAGACAAGAGTCCTGTGGCGTTAGCAGAAGTAAGACAGCAAAGCTTGGCTAGACTGGTGCTAGCCTTTTTCAGATACAAACTGGTAACGCCAGGAAGCAGAAGCATTAGTGAAGACAAGCTTTTGTCATTTACATGCAAACTTACCCTGAACCCCCCTCAACACTTCTATTTTTAACAGCTGTACACTGTCTCAATTGCATTTCAGGTTCATGAAGAGGAATAAGTAGTCTAAGCAGATATGAGAAGATGCTTGATGTAATGGGGCACAACTGAAAGCAGATGTAGAAAAAAAAATAAGCACTTACAGAAATAAACATCAAGTGAAAATCCAAAGAGACTGTATAATGTATTCCATTCATTTATTTGTGTTTCTATTTTGCCAAGCCCCAGGGATCAATAAAAGATTACATCTTGCCAAAAGCCCACTTCATCGTTATGTTGGAACGAATCCTAATTGGCAGATCTCTGCCGAAATCAAAACCAAGGGCAAATCCAGTCACGCTTCCCAGCCTCATGCATTGCGTGTGCGGATTGTTAAAGCAGCACAGATGAAACCTGTGCAGGGGGATAGCCCTTAAAGCTGGGATAACCCAGCTTCCGAGTCTGTATGAGTTTCGTAGGAAAGCAGACAGCACACTTTTCCTACAAACAGTCGGTTTGGAAGCTTCCGCTACAGCCAGCCAGAGGACTTCTGTTTGCCAGCTGCAGGAGAGACACAGTGGATGCTGTGGATGGATGTGTCCCATCAGGACTGCCTGTGGCGCTGTTCTCTCAGATCCTTTCCATTTTTAAACTGGGAAGTTGTCTTTGCTTCAAGTTAAAATATTAAATGGAGTGCAAAACAGTAAGCCTTCTCTTACCTCAGACTGACAAAAACAGAATCAAAACTTGGTCTTCCTCTGTGGAAACTTTTTCTTTGTTCCTTTAGGATATCCAAGTTCCAATTTTTCATGCCAACTCCTCACATACACGTCAGTTGACCGACTCTTGATTATCTGAGCAACAGTACCACATTTCCACGTGACTTTGTGCAACTCAGCAGGGAAGTATCGTGGTTTAGGTCCCGACGGCAATTAAGCACCCCACAGCCACTCACTCACTCCTCCCCTGGGTGGGATGGGGAGGAGAAAATAATCGGGAAAGGCTCATGGGTTGAGACAGGGAGGGATCGCTCACCCATTATGGACATGGGCAAAACAGACCATACTTGGGGAAGAAAAAAAACAATTTAATTAGTTACCAATCAAATTAAAGTAGGATAATGAGATACAAACCCTAATCTTAAAAACCCCTTTCCCCCACCACACCAACCCATTACAGGCAGGTGAAGGAACTCCTTGTTCTTTTCGGCAGCAATCTCAGTAGCATCTGCGTGTGCAGAGAGGGATTCTCTTCCAGTATGTCAAGGTGCTCACAGGACTCTTCTACTTTTGCATTTCTAGTCAAAACAAAAGATGTCTGTAAGAACTACTGGTGTGTAACTTTAACCCTGTAGTGGGAACAGAACAAGACACGCTATCAAGATAAGTCAGTATTTTCCATCTTAACATTAGCTGATTAAAATAAACGTCCACATAACAGTGCAGAAACATTCCTGTTTCTTCCATCCAGTCCTCCCTCAACATAATTGGGGCTGAGTTAACCTGTGAACTGTTCCACTTCCTCTGATTATGGTATGTTAAAGGTCTCAACAGGTCCCAGGAAAAGTGACTGTTGCTTAAATTCTTTAAATCAAAACAGCTGCATCTCAAAAGTATGTTATCTCTAATGCACTTTAGCATTCGAAGAGGCATGCAAGTCAGTCTCTAAGGGAGGGAAGAATGAAAAGAAAAAAGAGAGACTCAATCATTTCAGAGTTGGCTTTCTGGTGTACTCTTGTCAAAACTCATGGTAATCATCGTAAAGCATCTCCTGAAGCTTACCAAATTCAGGCTGTGACAAAATCTTAAGGCTCAGGGATTTTGAAGGTCTCTCTCTCCATGGATAAGGATAGAGTGTCAGACGCAGGAAGACATAGCCTTCAGACTAAGAGCCCAGGTTCCTTTTGTAAGGGTAGCCACCACAGGTGCAGAGGAAGGAGACAGAATAGCGTAAGACAGAGCCAGGCTATTACAAATGCACAAGAATTAAATGCATCCACTTGAAGGTGTAATAGTAAACAGGAGAGATGTGTAGAGAGATGAGATCAGGGACCATATGGTTATAACAGTCTCCTAAACAAAGCAATTAGTATAACTAACTTCACACTGAAGTTTTGGTGAGCTTTGATGTTGGATATAATTGAAATAGTAATTTGGGCCCTACAAGTACCAAAGAGGGCCTTCTGGACAAGAAAATAAGAAGAACGAGGACAATTTATTTATGCTGAGACTTATCATCCCACACTTTCATTCTTTTTTGTATGCTTTAACCCATGAAAACCAAATTTATGTTTTGGTCAAACATTGGAGGTCTAGATTTAAGCTTACTAGTACCTTCAAAAGTAAATACCCTGATGGTTGTACATACCTTATGCACCTTCCACAAGATGAAGATGGAGATTCCTGCCACCAGTGAAAGGATCACTCCTAGCACAACCTGCATGGTGTTATCTGATTTTTCTTTAAAAACACAAAATCCAAAAGTTTAACAGAAATGCTTTACATCACAAATTAGTGTCCACTGTTGGTCAACAAGTACATCAAAGCTATGGTTTTTCTCTTGTTTATAATTTGAAAGCTGTGATTTAGGGAGAATGTCTCAGCTTCTTTTTAATGTTACTAATACAACTATGTTCAGGTTAGTTATCACAGAATGGTTTGGGCTGGAAGGGACCTTAAAAATCATCTAGTTCCAATGCCCCTGCCATGGGCAGGGACACCTTCCACTAGACCAGGTTACTCCAAGCCTCATCCAGCCTGGTCTTGACCCATACTAAAAGATCTTAAGTGATACTTCAATGACTTCGGTGTGAACATCAGATTATTTTACTTAAGAGTGCTGATACCAAATCCCACGTGTTTTTACATAATGTGATTTGATGATCCCAATACAAATCCCATTTAAAACCACTCAACTCCCCAGTATGGTGAACACTGCCCCCAGGTACAGTGCTTGGCGCCATTAGCGGTACTGCTGATTTCCAGTTAAACAACTCCATAAGCATTAATCCAGCCTGGACCGCAGATTTTCCGATTGCCGTTGGAAAAAAAAAAAAATCTTTGCACTTTGCATCTAAAATGTTTCCCAACTCCATGATGCAACCATGCAATCCAGGGGAGAACAAGAAGCAGCAGATCCTCCGGTGGGTGTTAACAGCGGATTCCACGGGAGATACGAGAGGTCGGTTCTGCACAGCACCGCACGTCTCATCGCTCCAGCCAGTTCCAACAACGTGAGAACGCTCGACCTGGAGGGCTCATTCCGTTAAGTACGGTTCTTCTACTTCAGGCTCCCCTTCCACTGCTCCATCCGGTCTAAAGAATTTGGAAAACACTACACTCCTCTGGAAAGTCCCTATGGATGCCTAGCAAACAGCTCGGATCTAGGCACTGCCTTTACCTTGGCTCTGGCCCATGTGCAGAGCTATGTTGACATCTTGCCAGCTCCCTTGGTAGAGCAGCTTTAAGCTGTGGCCTTTCTCTGTGCAGGAGAAGGCCTCTGAAGTGATGTACATTCAACTTACCTTCCCCCTTAAAAGTCTCCTTTTTGGTGGCACTTGGAAACATTTCTGATGGCCAAGCAGCTGCTGTGCTACGACCACCACCCAACATACTGATCCAGCTCGTTGCCTTGTACCCTACTCTCTCTATGTGCTTATCTGCTGTCAGCATGTGCTGCCACAGAGATGCTAATCCCTCCGGGAAGTGGCTTCTCTGTTCCGTGTAATATATTTCTGGCCCACGAGCAGGAAAGTTCTGTGAGCGGCACAGTAATTTAGCCACTGATGAGGGGATTTGTATCACCTCTGCCTATTGCAGGATCCATCTGCGGAGAGCAGCTCAGGAAAGGCATGTGTAGAGGATGATCCAGGTCGTGTTTGGACTGGGCAGGTCTGTCCCCGGTCAACGCACAGGAAGACCGATGGACTTGTGCGCGTAAGTCAGGAGCACGGGTTAAGCATGTAATTCCTTGGGGGTGTTCAGAGCTCTCCAGCAGCACAGCATGAGGTTTGCGGGACAAGGAAGGTCATGCTGGAATTTGAGCTGCGAGGAAGCGGGTTTGTCCAACTTAACTGTTTAAACTTCCCTCCTCCAGGTTGCATACAGCCACTGCCATTTAAAACACACCCCACATCGGGTTTTCAGACTGAAATTAAGCTGTCATGGGGCAGGGGTGGGAAAGGAAGATGAAAATATGCAGCTGTTATCAGTTATTCTAGCCCCTTTTCCGCTGTGTTGCCTATGTTTTTCACGTGACTGGCTTGTTTCAAGTTCTTTCTTAAAAAGTGATAAGATCTTAGGTTTTTAGGTGATTGTATTTAATGGCATGAAACGCCTATGTGCTACTGTTTGAATAGGGTTTTTTTTCTTCTCCCTTTGGGCGAAGATTTAAGGAAGCTGCATCCCAAACAGCATATCATTTTTGAACAAATTGGTAACTTGTTTGCACTATAATTTTGGAAAGCTGGAGTAATTTTGGTTTGACCTTTGGTAAGAGTTTTCAACAGATAGAAAAGTTAATCGGTAAGTCTCCTTGAAACTGGAGGTAATGAAATAGCTGTGACTAGGACTTCACAGCTGGAAGTTTACTACAGTTCATAAAAACGTAGGCATGCATAGACACACATCGACCCCCAGGTCTAGAAAAGGCCTGCTGCGTACCATTAAAGCTTTGGCAATCACAGCCGCGTGTTCTCCTCAACAAGGTTCCTTCTGCAGGCGAATTTGCACCGCGTCTTTGGGCTTCCCTTCATCCCCCTGCTACCCTGAGAGACCGCAGCTGCTGTCAGCAGTGCAACTGGGACATGCTTATGGGAGTTTCCCTGTGTCCTCCCAGCTCTGAGGGCAGTTGGTGGCAACTGAGGGCAGCCACCGATTTTCAGACCTTTGCCACAACAAGCTGCTGAGTTAAACAGAGAAACTTCAGGTATTTAGATAAATACATTTAGGTAACTTTTTTTTTCCCCCTAGGACAACGACAATGATGTTTCTCTATTTTACAGACTTCTGATTGACCCTTTGTCTCTGCGTTCCCTTCACTGGTCCCCATCCTCCAAAATGTAAAGAGGGGCAACTTACCAACGTGCAAAGCTCTCACGGTAAGTTTTGTGTAGCCAGGCGTTGAAATATTACACAGGTATTCTCCACTGTCGCTTGCGGCAAGATCCCGCAACCTCAGTGAAAAGTTGTTTTGGTTAATCTGGGCCCGAGGCTGGTAAGTCTGAGATGTACCATTGAAGGAGGCCAGGACTGAGATCACTGCATTTCTGTTCCGTGTCCAGACAACGCTGAAACCCTCAGTGTTCGCAGTGTTAGCGCTGTACTCACAGGGAATTTCAGTGCTACTCCCTTCCACGTTAGACAGTTGGTCTGAAACAGAAAATTGAAGAACCCTCTGCCATTTTTGGGGGAAAATATTATGACGGTTATTTAGATAATTTCTGAATTTTAAAACTAATACTACTGTGGACAAATGTGAAAACGTGTTTCACTATTTTGATATCGTCTTCAAACATCACAGTATGCTCCTAGAAGGATGTGAAGATTGTAAAATCAAACCTATCTTACATTTTTTAAAAAAACCCAAATTGGTATTAGCTATACTTATGAAAAATACTTTGTTTTCCATTTGCCTATTTATCCTCTAATCAGGAGATTCATTATTAAAAGTGATTTAGCCTAGTCTAAAGTAGCATAAAATTCCACAAGTTGAGAGCAGGGAGAAAATGCAACTAATCAGATACCTGCACATTTAAAGAAAAAGAGTAAAGCTCTTACAACACAATTTAATTAGAAGAAAAAAGAATATTATATCTCATTAGAAATAATTTTCAGTTACAGTGGACTTAAATACTTTACCTGTCTGTATGGAACACTTACAATTAATTAATAGATTTAAAAAGAAAAAAAAGAATGGGATGCAGATAAATGGAACTATTAGCTAATACATAGAATACTAATAAAGGACAAATTAATATCACAGCACAACGATCAATTTGGCAGCAGGGGTTTGCTGTAAAGGAAGGAAAAGCAGAGGAGGCTGTGGTGGCTGGCAGTCTGCTGGAGAGGAAGCTAACATGTTATTTTGAGGTGGTTTAACCGTGTTTGGTTTCTTTGCATGGATCTAGATGAAGGAGGTGTGGGGCTGAAAACTACAAAGACAAACAAAAAAAAAAAAAAGCAGTACTCCACGTTGCTGTTATGTGAGGAAAAGGAAAGCAGTGTATTTTCAGAATGTTCCAGTGAGAGGATAGATGGGTGCAGGGAAATTCAAACGAAAGTGTAATGAAAGGAACCTTTTCCTTTTGTGGATTGGAAGGATAGATTAAGAAATAGACACTTACACTGCACTTTTTACCTACTGTGATACCATACTTGAGACTTTCCATAGCTGTAAGCCATTGCATGTAACTTAAATCTGCACTCTGGGTCTGAAGCATATGCAGGGGATTAGGAACCGAGAGTGCCTGGGTATGCCTTAGGGGGATCAGGGCAACGGAGGCACCCAGGCACCACTCACAAGGGAATTGCTCTCACACCGCTCTTGATCCAATTAAAAAATACTTCCTAAGAAACAGGGGACATTGAAAAGTACCAGTTAGTGACTTGAATTGAATTTCCAGTAAAAACTTGGGATTGCAGGAAGAGGACAAAAGGAGAGAGTGGAAATTTCATAGCCCTGTTTTCCCTTAGCTAACAAAATGAGCGGCTGTTTGCTCAAATGTGAGCACAGCTTGCTGCTCTTCGCTCTCATGCACCCCCACACTCAGCTGAGGTACTTATACATGCACTTGAACAGAAATGCAAAGGAAAGATGAAATGGTACCGATAAGACTTGGCAAACACTAGGGAACATACTGAGTAAGGAACTTACACACCTAGAGCAGCAGGCTAACTTTCCCCTCCCACATATAACCCACAGGTTCACTAAGGTTTCCATAGACTTTGTCCAAGTACATTTTTTTCTTGATGGAGCGTAAAGTTCAATTACTGTGCGCCTCTTGAGACGTGAAATCAGTATGGCAAAAGTGCCCAGCGTAAAGCTTACAGAGGTGTGATTATCCCTACTTCTAGGACATAGGCTGCCTTGTAACAGACGAGTTCCAAAGAGGAAGACACAACCTTTGGCACCATCCCAAATCCGTGTTGCCCCCCTGCAGAAAAACTGTGTTCAATTTGGCTCTGGAACCAGCTGTGACATTCAGTAACGATGCAGGAAGGGACTTCCCTTCATTCCTACCTTGCATCTTCCATTCAGCAGTCCACTCTCCATGAGGGAGATTAATATGGCAGTAGTAAGGATCAGTTGTGCTTATAATGTTCTGGTCGCTTCTAACCGAATAGAGAACTCCATCCCTGGTTTCCTCCCAGCCCGTTTCATGGATGGATGTATTGCCTTGCACCCAAGATATAGGTGGTGCTGGGTAAGTGAGAAAGGCAGAGCACTTCAGCGTCCTTTTTGTGCCTGTCTTTTGGTATTCCAGAGCATAATAAGAGGAAACTGTACATTAAAAAAAAAAAAAAAAAAAGGAAAAGAAAAGCCAAAATCCTGTTAGTTTCGAAATCCTTTTTAACTTGAAGTGACTGGTCTTTTGAAATAATGCTGGGAAGAACAAGCATAACTGGGAACAAAATTGAATGCGTTTGACTTCAGAAGGAAGCATAGCGTTACTTACTGTCAATGCCAGAGTCTGTGCTGTTCAAAGAAGCAACATAATGTTTTACACTGCCTAGTTACCCCTTAGAAATCATGGTGCAGTAGGTTATGAGAACAAATGCTGCACTGTAATTTTTCAAGTCACGTTACAACATTTCACCAGAGAAAATGAATTGCCTGGCAATACCATCAGACCCAAAAGGAACTCTCTTGGGTTGGAACATTTCGATTCCATGTGAGAAATAACATGGGAAAACCTGTGGGGGTCATCCCACTTCCACTGGCGTGATCCAAGCACTTTTGATGTCTTACTGACCTTTTATGCGCAGCGTGACTTCCACTTCGGTTTTACTTTGCTGTGTTCCCACGTAGCATTTATAAGAGCCCTCATCAGTCACGGTCAAGTTACTAAGTTTCAAGGAAGCATTTCCACTAGGAATGTTCTCATGAAAAAGGTGTGTTCTGTGTCTGTAATCCAGGTCTTGGCTTTCCAGGTGATCCCTCTGGTAGTAGTAGCTGTGCACGTCTTTGTCCCCTTTCTTCCAGTAAATTACTTCTTCATTCCCAGGTGGGAAAGGACAAGGGAGGATGCAGTCCTTGGAAAACAGCCCCGTTACTGTTTCCTGTTCTGCAAAACCTGAAGTCCGTAAGTACAAGTGAGCAAGTTAAATCTAGTCTACAAGTATCTTCTGCCCCTCCTTAACCCTAACAAAAAAATGCTTGGGCAGGCAGCACCTTCCTACCAAGCATGCCACCGGCTCTTTCACGCTTTTCTGCAGCGCCAGTCTCTAGGACAGCAAAGGTCCTAATTTCATAGAATGGTTTGGGTTGGAAGGGACCTTAAAGACCATCCAGTTCCAACCCCCCTGCCATGGGCAGGGACACCTTCCACTAGACCAGGTTGCTCAAAGCCACATCCAGCCTGGCCTTGAACACTTCCAGGGATGGGGCATCCACAGCTTCTCTGGGCAACCTGTTCCAGTGCCTCACCACCCTCTCCAGGAAGAACCTCATCCTGATATTCTTCACAGAATTTGGTTTAATTGATATTATAACACAGAGCTCTCATCTTTGAACTTATAATCACTTTAAGCAGATATCTTGAGTAAGCATTTACATAATCAAATCTGCACACCTTCAAATGCATTTCCAAAAGCACAAATTTCAACCTCAAAACCTTTTTGGACTACAGCTTGCCACTCACTCAAACGTTCATAGCACCACATCGCAATGACCCAGCTTACCGATAAGCTCACACAGTGCCAAGCAGCTGTACCATCACAGGAACAAAGGACACGATGGTGCAACCAACAGGCAGGACAGAACTTATTAATACAGCTTCACCACCACAGAGGGTGGCAGGGAGCTCTGTCCCAGCCCCCGGAGGTAATTAAGGTCAGTTCCTCCAAATTAATTCACACAAGTGGTAGCATCTGATTGCTGTTAACATTTAATTTAGGCCTTGCTGGCAAAAAAGAACCATTTTCAATGGATCTTTTTGAAAACTGACTGCATTAACTTAGCATTGCTGCACAGACCTTCTTGGCCAAGGTCAGACAACCTTTTTTAGGCTGGTAGCGTGTGTCTGGCTGCAACCATCCTCTTGGAAACTCTGATGCCCCCTCCAGCTCAGCTGGCAGGGCAACCCAGATGACTTTTCCGCAGCCTTCCCAGTGCAAATTCAACCATCATGCTGCAAGCCTTTTTCAGTAGGAACTGCCAACCGCTGCCTGCTGAGCGCTCGCACGACACGCTCCGCAAGCCATGGGGTGGAAATGTGGGCAGGTACCAGTTTGGGTGCTCAGCATGCTCAATGGCCATCCATACAGCCATCTTTCCAACAGTTCCCTTTTGATTCAGGAGTGTTGTACATTACCCCAAACTGATTCTTTACCACTAATAAACAGAGTTAGAATTAACTGATACCCCTCTATTAAAAATTATAATTGTCCTTATTATTTTTCATAAACAACAGAGCTAAAACCTACCCCAAAGTGCAGCACCTATGCAAAATAAAGAGATGAGAAGAGATGGCGTTTTCTGTCCCTTCATGTCTTCTTTGGTTCATAGTAGACTCATGTGAAACTGAGAAGAGAAAAGGAGGGGACAAAACCTGTTTAAGTGCAGATAGAACACATAGCGTAATGTTTTGGTTTAGCCCTGTCTGGCAATTAAGGACCACCAGCTGCTCTACCACTCCACCTCCCCCTGCTAATAGTGAGGAAGGGTTGGAGCAAAAACAAGGGAAGCTCGTAAAAAGTTGGGACAAGAACTATTTCTATGTACATGAAACTTACAGTAATACTAACAATACTGCTGCTAATAAGTAATTAAAAGAGCAGAAAGATAGAACCTATGATACAGGATCTCACCAAGCGTGGACTGACACAGCCAGATTCCAAAACGGCAAGGGAAATATCCCCCCTTCCATGAGCCTGGGAGCGGAGAGCAGGGAGGAAGAACCTTCCAATCCCCCATCGGGGCTCCATTAGCCTGACAAAATATGCTCCTTCTCTGCTAATACCCTGACACCAGTAAACAAAGACCAAGCTGTGGCAAGGTGTTTGCTAGCCGACCCCAGCCTGTCATCCATGTCCCCCCCATCCCCCCCCCCACTCCTTCCAGGTCACTTTTTTTCATGGTTGCTTGCAAAACCCCACGCTCTGCAAACTGAGCCCTGAGCTTGATGGATCATGGAATGAAACAAGATCCTGTGGGCCGGCCAGCTCTCCCGAGGAGAGCAGCTCGTCCCTGCCTGAAACCAGCACAGCTACCTGTATCTTTTCCTTTGTACAGCTTATTAAGGACTGTCTGCCTTTGTATTATGCTTTTTGTTTGCACCGGTCTTGGCACAGATTTTTTGCCTTAAGGTCACCATGTAACCCGATACATTTCATAATGGCTGAGGCCCTCTCATTACCATCTAACCCCTTGCAGATTGGTACTTGCTCTTTACTTTTAACAAAGAGAAGTGTTTACCCTCAGTGTTCTTACAGGGCTTAATCTGCATCATTCATGAACAGGACACCAAGGAAAAATGGTCAAGTACTATTTCCAAATGGATGTAAGATGTCCCTTGTCAAGCCAGATTTTTCTACTTTCTAAAATAGATTTCTGATTTCTGCAACATTTGACTTTCTGGGACATTTTCCTGCACATGCAAACATTGCAGATATAAAGAACTTTTCACCTTGACTGTTCACCAGGTCAAAAAGGCATCAGCTCAACTTCCAAAAATGTGGATATGGAAGTGTGCTGATAGTTAAGAGTCCCCCTGCCAAGTACTGAAGAAACATGCTTTTCCTGTTTGCCTAAATGGCACAACCAAGAAATCATGCTCTGAGGCTTCGTAGTGAAATATCAATATGGAATTATTTATACAGCACACAACCAGAATTAAGATCACTATAGTCATGTCCATTACTGATGCTTTAGTTTTCAGGAGACCTGTTTCATACAGAGTCACCACGGGCTCAACAGGGCAGCAGCTCAGCCAGGGTTTCTGGGAGCACGGCAAGGAACTAAAACGCATCTTTCAAGATACACAGCGAAGTCAAGCACTGAACAGCTCAGATAGTGGTAGGGTCAACACTGCACTTGCTTTGGTCACGGTAGGGAAACAACATCAAGTGGCACATGCTTTCTTTTTCTTCTATTAACCACGGACCAAACCATGTATCCTACACCCTGCATCACCTTTGAACTTTGCATTCTAACTGAACCCTGATCAGTGCATTCCCCTCATACACAGGCATCAGGCTCAGTGAACTTTGTGACCCACTTTGCAAGAAGCTATGCATTTTGTAATATTCTCCTAACCCTGGCAGACAAAAGTTAGTTATTCTTTAGTAAAAAGGATTCTGATTAATTCATTGCCAAGGTAACTGAACAGCAGCACAGTTCAAGTGCACACAGACTTAGGAGGACTGGAAATGCCCGATGATTTCATGTTTTACCAACGAGCAAACAAGAAAAACAAGTGTGTCAAGCTCTAAATGAGCCGTGTTAACCAGATACTGCTAAAATCTCATACTAGCCACAATGATCCTAGCTTTCCAGAATTTCCACATTGAATCTTCAGGAGGCATTTTCTGTAGTAGAAAAGAGAATTTATTCTCTGCCTCTCCCCAGCGAAACCCTCACAACTTAAAAGCTAACTCCATACTTGAGTTGGTGAGAAATACTCCCAAAGGAAGAAGGTTCCCATATTTTAAACATCCAAAATTGTCTTAGAAAGGAGACCAGAAATACTGTGCTTTACCTCAATATACACATCTCATGCTCCTCACCTCCCTCACCCTGTACACTTATACCATAGAGCTGTTATAAGAATGTTGAGGGTTTTCTTACCTCTTCTGATTCCACCGGTAGCCAAAAAATTCAGAGTCTTGTTTCAGATTTCTTGCAGGCAGGGATTTTATAAATATATGTATATATCTCCTGAAACCGTGGAACTTTGCCTCTTCCCTGCTCCTTTCAAAAACCACACCCACACGGCCAGAGTTCAAGTATTTAACAGGCAAGTTCGTTCCTGCCCCACAAATGAAAGCAGTTTTTTCTGTAGCGTGAACCACGTTTCTATACGTGTGAACCTTCCATACCTTTTGCGTTCACTTCTCCCTCTTCGGGCTTAAAAGCTTGTTCTCCTACTCATTTCTCGTGCTTGGCTTTGTTGAACAAACTCTTTAACAACAGCTGTCATTATCAGAGTAACAGAATAAATCACTCACCATCAGAACCGTGATTTCTGCAGCACTGGCGATGCCACCTGGGGATCGTGCTCAGGCATTGTGAGAGCACGCAGCAGGGATCGGCAATTCCCTGAGGAACGCAGAGCATAGGAACCTGATGCAGGGAGTGAGGCAGCTGCTGCACGAGCACACGTCAAAAAAACCCCAACTAAACTCAGAAAAAAAACCAACCCAGCTTTCCCACCTGCTCTCTTCCCCACCACCCCGCAGCAGTTCCAGCTGGCAATTGCAGCTGACCTCTAGCTACAACTCCTCTGCTCCCAAGACTTACTTTTCCATACCTCCAGCTGTAAACTACCACACCTCAGGCCATGAACTCTGCTATCAAAAGGAGCAGTTGCTGCCTCGTCTTGTCCTGCATGGTGTAATGTGTCTACAGCTCAGTTTTAAATCAGGTAAACATTTAACTGAGGAACCAACATGAAAGCCCAGTGCTTACACACACACAAGCCCGAGGTTGAGCCACCCATCAGGCAGCGAAAAGCAGCAAAGCTTTAAGAATTACTGACCTGTCAGCCTCACTTCTGTGCCTGGGAAGATCATGGAACAGATCCTCCTAGAAGCTATGCTAAGGCACATGGAGGACAGGAAGGTGATTTGGGACAGCCAGCATGGCTTCATCAACTTGGTTGCCCGACCAACCTAGTGACATGGTCCCTCACAGCATCCTTCTCTCTAAATTGGAGAGGTATCTATTTAATGGATGGACTGTTTGGTGGATAAGGAATTGGCTGGATGGTTTCATCCAGAGGGTAGTGGTCAATGGCTCAATGTCCAGATGGAGATCGGTGACAAGTGGTGCCCCTCAGGGGTCCGTACTGGGACCAGCACTGTTTTAACATCTTCATCAGTGGCATAGATAGTGGAATCAAGTGCACCCTCAGCA